TTCATATTTCTATTGAACTTCGTTGAATTTAGATGGAAATCCTCTGGCAAATTTACTTATTCAGACAGGAAAGCAAAACCAAGTTAAAAGCTATGAAGCAAAATGTGGATTTGGCATAAAATTTTTGAGTCTTTTAGAAGTGCTTTTTGTGCTTGTGGAAGCAGAACTGGAAAGTGAAGATTTAAAAACATAGATAACTAAAATTCAGAAACAATAAAGTATCTGATATCAGATGTAGGCTCTTTTCCTCCATGTGAGAAGTTTATGCAGGGTTTTCAGGAAGACCGTAATTTGTCCTTTTACGGAGATTTCTCCGCAGTACCCTAGGGAGAGGAACAACCAAACAGCCTACATAGTCTGAGAAATTTTGTTTTTGAAGTATAAATGGCTCATTGTAAGCATGTGTTTATATATACTTATATACTATATGAATTCTAATGACTTTAGTTATCAATTGATGTATATAAAATTATTTCTAAAAATGTTGCATTAAAGTAGCTACCCTTTTATTTTTAACCATTTTGCAGGGCTATTGTTCTAAAAAGTATATTTTAAAAAACACTAGCTTGCTTGCACATTCAGTGCTTGGCTTACTTGAAGGACAGTATGATGACATGAGTTTTATCATCTGAATATGAAGTTTCCTCATTAAAAAAAGTTTTCTTGAGATTAAAGGAAGGATCCCTGAAACTGTAAATGCCTTAGGACATTTGCAACCAAGTAGCAACTTCAGATCAGTGGACTAGCAAACATTTCTTTGGTTGATCTTTCACCAAATAAGACATGTAGTAGATTAATTTTGATCAAAATAAGAGATGATTGGGGCTGAGGATTTCGAGGGACAGCAGTTCTAAAGGGAGAACTCCTGAGAGGAGGAGCAAAGAGCAAAGGCAGGAGCATGGAGAATTGTTGCATCCATCGGAGTCCTGACTGGGAAGAATGCTGACAGTCCAAGGGGGAGCTGAATGAGTTGAATGAAGAGAATACTTGCCTAGGTGTAGGTAGGGTGCATTAGTTAGCTGTATTATTACTATGGGATGATAGCAATTTAAGGGAGGAAAGATTCATTTTGCTCATGGTTTCAGTCCACCATAGCAAGAAGGAAGTAGCAGAGGGATTCACAGCCTGGCTCTCAGGAAACAGAACAGAACAGTCCTGTATGGACAGGACTTTCACAACACTCAACCTACTTCTAACCAGGCCTATTCTCCACAATCTATCATTTCCCAATATTCTAGCAATTGTTTTAATCTATCCATGAAATAATCCTTTCATTAGATCAGCAATCTCATGCTATACTTGTCAAAAGAAATACTGTAGCAAGGCCACCTAGAGGTGTGCTGTAGCAATCTCCAGGTATTGTTTCATCCAGTCAAACTGACCGGATGATCACAGGGAAAAGCAGAAGGGAAAGTGAAAGACTTCTGGGTTAACAAACGAATATGCTGATGGCCAAGGCTGGACTCGAAAGCACCAAAGGAGCACCAGTGAGATTCCCAGCTGCGCAGCAGGAGGTACAGATTTTAGTAACCAAGGTATAGGGCCATTCTAGGACCAGGCAAAAAACTGAGCTGCTCTCCTCTGCTTTCAATCTTTCACATGGTTTCTTCCTTAGTCAAACTCATAGTCAGGGAATGTCAGTCATGAGGCCGGAGCCTTAGAAACCAGTCTACAATCTCTCTAAGAGAGGCAAGGGTTCTAAAGACATAAAATTGTGAGGGGTGGTTCAGGGAGAAAGTTGGTTTTAGATAGTCATTATCTGTCTTGTCAGGTATGGACTCCATAGCATTATAAATAGACTTTTCTTCAAGAGCACCATAGAGTAAATAATAACAATTCATTTTGAAACTTTCAGCTAAATTCATCAGATCAGTTTTATTGAGTTTGGAATAATATCTTCGATGACTTAAATAATGAACCTGGTTCTGCATAAAATAACAAGAAAAATTAAGGATAAAAATTGTCCAATGACGCTATAAAATGATAGAAGATTTAAGGAACATAGCTGGGATTTTCCCTCTTTTAAATGTGAGTTATGAAAATGAAAAGCAGCAGAGAATGAGTGAGAAAAAAATATCTATGTAGTAGATGGTTAGAATGTGTGAAATCAATAAAAGTGTATGAGTCTATATAATATTATTTTTATAGTAGTTTCCCAAAGCCTAAAATTACATGAAAATAGAAGTTTGGACATGACACGTACCTTCCCTAGGACAACACCTGCTCACTGCAAAATGCTTAGTAAGCGTTATCCTTCTAACAAATTCTAAAGGGCATTGTAAGAAAGAAAACTGCAGGCAAATTCTTCCTCATCTGCACAAGCAGAAAACTCTTAGTAGAGTTTTGGCAACTATAATAACACAACATATTAAAAGAATAATTGTAACCAAAGGAGGTTTATTCCAGAAACGCAAAGAAAAAATGATATTTCGAAACCAATTAGTGTAAGTCACCAGATCAACTAACTAAAAACGTGTGATCACTGTTTAGTAACAGAAAAATAACTGGGCAAATCTCAGCATGCATTTCAGACTAATGAAAAACAAAACTGTGAGGAAAGTCAGATGAGGAGGGAATTTTTTCAACATAATTAACAATTCTTATAAAATGAAGTCCTAATATCACACCACCCTTCATTGTGAAATTCTATTTTCCCACTAAAATCAGTAGAGGCCAAAGATATCCATCCATTCTTGTCACTAATGCTGTCCTGGAGGTTTTAGTTTAAATGATAATTTTAAAGAGAAAGCAAAAACATAGGTTGCCAACACAGACGTCAGCAACACTTGACTTACAGAGTCTATGGAACTTGCAAAGAGTCTATTATAACTAATCAACAGGTATAGCAAGGGTTGACTGAGGATAGAAGATTAATAGAAAATATCATTGTGTAATCTTATTTAAAATACTAAGAGATTAAAATTAAAATAGAAATTATGTTTTTAAGTTTAGAAGCTAGAGTTTGGGAAAGCTATGGGCCCCAAAATGACACAAGAAAACTCTGGAGGTGGTATTTTTATTTTATTATATATTCTTTTTCTTTAATGACATTTATTTATTCTAAGTTTTTACACATCATGTGTCTTGATCCCATTCATTGCCCATCCCTTCGCATTCGCCCTCCAGAGCAGCCCCACCCAAATAAAACAAAATTAAAGAGAAAAAGATGAAGAAAATAAATGATGCGGAGGGGGAGAGAAGGAATTAAAACTCTTGTCATGGAAGCTGCAGTGCAGCCCACAACTCACACCATATACTCCTTTGTCTATACATCTCTACCCGCAAGAGTTCATGCAGAGTCGTTGGTTTGGTTCGAGGCCCCTGATCTCCACTGCACATTGTAATGCTGAGCCCCACCAGGACTCTTCCTGGACATCCCAAGGCTACCCTGTCTTGTGGAGATCCTGCAGCTTTCGGTCCGCTGGCCAGGTTCCTTCCTGGGCTCCAATAAATTATAGATGGGGTGGATTTGGTGGCATGCCAAGTCATAACCCTGGGTTTGGGCCTAGTCATCTGAGGGGTTGATCCTTCAGATGGAAATGGGGAGAGTTCTCCCACCGTCACAATTGTGGGTCTGACTCACCTATACCTGCGCTAAACCTCGTTAGCGTTATTGTGCTGCCCTGGTGAGGTGCAGGGGCTGCTCTTCTGAGTGTTGCAGTTGGTGGGGGTCAGGGATAGCTCTCCCACTCTTATGACCACAAGGTCGTCTCTCCCACCTGCCTCTGGAATTGATGGGTGGAGGGGGGCACTTCTCCCCTACCCCTGTCGCCATTAGACAGATGAGAAATGGGGATTATCATATATTCTTATTGAGAATACTTTTTCATATAATATATTCTGATCATGGTTTCCCCTCCTCCATATACTCCAAGATCATTCCTATATTCCCATGTACCCTATTCCATGTCTTTTCTCTTTCTCTTTAGGAAAAAAGAGGTAAATAATGCAAACAAACTAGAATGTTTATTTAAAAAAAAGATAAGTGAAAAGGACAGAAACACACACAATCCATAAAAAAATGGATAAATGCAATATGCAAACAAAACACCAGTAAGAAAAAAAGCCAAACAAAGTAACATGAAACAAAAAATTTTTTTTTTTTTACAAAAAAAAACCCAGTAAGTTCATTTTGTGTTGATTATCCACCTCTGGGTGGGGCACGCTTTGCTTTACGTGTGGTTTATATACTCAGTGAGATTCCAATTGGAGATAACTAATTTTTCCATTACAATTGGTTGTTGATTGAAGACAGCTTCTTGGTTAGGGATAGAAATTCATGTCTACTTCAACTTATCAGTGCTGGGGGACCCATTTGGCTTAGCCATGTGCAGGCCCTGTGCACGCTGCCACAGTCTCTGTGAGTTCATAGGTATATCAGGCCTATTATGTCTGGGATGTACTGTTTTCTTGGTAGCCTTCATCCTCTCTGGCTCTTAAAATCTTTCTGCCCCTTCTTCTTCAGGGATTCTTTTCCTGAGCCCTGTTTGATGAACAAAACTGATAGATATTGTTTATATATATATATATATAAACACATATATATACATATATATATGTATAACTTGACACATACAATGCTAATATTTAGACAAATTAAATTTCTAAAATGATGCAAATTACCAAAACTTAATTAGAAGAGGAAATTTTACTAGATCTATAAAAACCACAAAAATAAAATCAGCAATTTTAAATAAGGAAGTGCGAGATTTCTGGGGCAGACAATAGAATTCTTTATTATCTGAATCTGTTACAACCAGTATAAGGCACCCAATTATTTGTGGGATAGCAAAAACATATCTCCAACTTCTGAGTTCTTAGTTCATTTTAACGAACATGGGAGACATTTATTTCATTTTAAGAAAGCCTGCAGGAAATGACGAGTCACGGCTGTGTCACAGGTGTGACCGTACTCCACCCACCCCCAACTCGAGAAGTGAAGCTGAGAAATGCCCCAAACATCTCAACTCAGGAGATCACCAACTCCGAGTTCCCTAACACATCCACTTTGTTAATCAGTCACACTGTTTCTTGCAAGAGCACAGGACCAGAGGAAACACAGTGGCGTGAAGGCAGAGCTCACCTCATTCATAGTAGCCTTTCATTATGAAGTCTGAACAAGAAGGTATGGCGGCTGGTCCTGCACCTGATCCTCTTAATGCTCTTTCCATATGTATTACAGTGTTAGAGTCCTAAAAACTACTTCCATTAGCACTGTAGATAAGACAGAACACGGCGCGATCCTTTGGCTCTTCTGAGGCTAAGCAAAGAAATAGATGTTAACACTAAAAGTCTGGACAGCCATCACTCAAAGGCTAACAGCACACATGTATTCAGAGAATGAGTGACTTAATTTTCTCATGTAAACTTTCAGTGGGTTTGAATGTTTACAACCAGCAGTAACTAGCTTTGAATTAAAAACTAATTCAGACAATTAAATCTTTCTAAATAAAATCAAATGTTTATTCAATTTAGGAACAGTTGGTGCAGCTGGCAAATATTTTTTTTCACATTTGGTAATGTTGAAATAACAGAATTTCCTTGGCAGGACACAAGCTTTAAGAGTATGTTCTGGTGTGTGTGTGTGTGTGTGTGTGTGTGTGAGAGAGAGAGAGAGAGAGAGAGAGAAAGATATAAAAGATGTATTTGTCTATCTTCATCTGTTTATATCATTACACATAGTAATTTTCAGTTTCATCCATCTTCCTGAAGATGTCATAAGTTCATTTATCCTGATGGCACTGTAATATTAAATAGTGTTTATGTACCACATTTTCTGTTTTCACCCACTGATGGACACCTGAGCTGGTTCCATTTCCTGCTGTTGTGAACACTGAAGCTGTATTTCTCCCGTTGACAACAGCCTCTCAGAACAAGCTAGAACAAGGTAGCTTACATTTATATTTCCTGATTGCTAAGGATGTAGAATATTCTTCCAATATTTCTTCTGCCGAGAACTGTCTGCTTAGTTCACTAGCCCATTTGTGGGCTGTGTGAATTGGGCTTGGGGATTTTGTTTTTATAATCTTTTATATACCGTTGGTGTTAACCCTTTGTTTACTGTAGAGTTGACAATGAGTTTTTTTTCCTTCACCCAGCTGGTTATTTCCTCTGCTGTGTAGATTTGAATTCACCATGTCTCAATCTGTGGGCTATTTTCTGTGCTGTTAGACTTTTCAGAAAATCTTTGCCTATGTTGATATCAAGTGTTCTTACTGTTTTTCTCTAGCCCTTTCAAGATTTCAAGTTTTGATCTGTTTTTAATGGGTTTCTGTGCAGGTCTAGAGGAGTGACCCCAGTTTCATGGCCTTACATGGGGAAAACCAGTTTCATAAGCACCATGTGTTGAATAAACTGTCCTATGCCTCCAGTGTATTTTTTTTTTATATAGTTTGTCAAGATTGAAGTAGTTATATCTTTGCGGATATACCGCTGGTTTTCTGTTTTTTGTTTTTTGTTTTTTTTACATTGGTTCACATTTCTACTTTGGTGCCAGTACCATTATGATTTTGTTATTATTGTTCTGCATATAATTTGAGATCAAGTATTTGCGAATGTCCCAACATTTCTCTTTCGACTTAGTATTTCTGTCACAGTTTGGGTTTTGTTCGTGGATCCACATAATTTTGAGGATTGTTTCTTCTAGTTCTTCCATAACGAATTTCATTAGAATTTTGATAAGATTTTATTGAGATAAAAGAAAAGCATAGGAATATTTAAATATAGATAAAAATCTAACATCAGTTAATATAACCATTTTCATGACATTAATTCTGCTTGTCTTCCAGTGCCTTCTTCAGTCGGTTTCTCCAGGATCTTACAGTTTTCATTGTAAAATTTTTCTCCTCTTTGTTTAGTTCTTGGCATTTTATTTATTATCTTATATTATTTTGCTGTGTTTTATTTGGAAGCTATTGTGAATAGGATTTTACCCTGATTTCCTTTCTCACAAATCTGTTGGTATTTTTACTAGTAAGGTGTGTTTCTTAGAGACAAAAGATAGTTGCCTCCATTTTTAATCCAGTCATCCAATCTACACCTCCTTATTGGTGAATTGAAGCTATTTACATTTCAAGTTAATATTGCCAAATATTTCTAATTCTTATAATTTTGTTGATTTCTTTTGATAGTTGATTAATTGTGTGCGCTTTATTTTCTCCCCTGTAACTTCAGGTGTTTCCTGCTTTACTGTTATGAGATTAAAATTTATTTAGCGTAAATGTAGAAATAGTAAATAAATGAGATAAAGGAAGGAGATGGATAACAGGAAAAATACAGTTAAATGAAAGGAAAAAGCAGCAAGAAAAAATTCAAAAACTCAAACATCATAAAGGGCTGTGTATTAATGAAAAAAATGGTTAAGAGCACTGGTTGCTCTTACAGAGGTCCTGAGTTTAATTCTCAGCAACCACATGGTGGCTCACAGCCATATCTGTAAGGGGATCCAATGCCCTCCTCTGGCAGGTGAAGGAACATTCAGAGAGAGCAGTCACATACATAAATAAATCAATCTTTTTTTCAAAAAAAAACCCTCTAAAACATAATTAGATAAAGTAATAAGGGAATAAAAGAAAAACATAGCAATATTTTAAAAATTAAGGTCAAGTCAAAATGCTAGCAAATATAGAGGGAAGAGGAAGAAATGTAAGGAGCAAAAAGGAAAAAGAAACTAAAACCAATACATTGAATTTAGAAAGAAGAATAACAAATAAAACATAGTTTTAAAAGTACACCCCAGTAAAAGACTTGCTGAATGTGTCCAGGACAGTGAACACCAGCATAGTTCCTCTGCTAAAGAACTTTCTTCTCAGTCCATGAACTGGAGGCTGGCTTACATGCATGGAGGGGAGGAGGGTGGGTTGATCTTACAGTCTCTGGTGCTTCCTGTAGTTTGTGTTGCTGCTGCATCTCTTTGGAAATGAGACATCAGTGTCTGATATCATCACAGGACCTGTTTTTCTTTGTTGTCTGGTCTCTCTGGTCATGGATAGCTTTGTATTCTGTGGTCTATCCATATTCTCGCATCTTCTAAAGACTCCTCATATTGTGCCCCCTTGAGTAGGCTAATACCTTAGCTGAGGGCTGTCTCCCAGGCCTATTAAGAATATGGGAAGAAACTACCTCACTGATCAGTACAGGAGGACCTGTTTCATGCTTTCAAGCTAAGTATAAATCACACCACCGGAGAACTGCCTCTGTGGGTATCATGCACGTACTGGGATCTCAGAGTTCTCCGGTCCTATCGTCATCAATGAGATTGGTGGCCCCAAGATTTTATCCATCCCCTGGCACTGGGTTCAGAACTATCAAAGTGCAGAGTAATTCTTTCTTGATGTGGTTATGTCCTCAGCCAGTGAGGCCAGGACTATCTCTTCTGTGCACATCCTAGCCTGAGCCAGCTTCCGGCTCCCTGTCTATTTGGCTACTTCGTGTCTAGCCTTCCTACTCTTTACAACTGTCTCTCTGGGTCTTTCCTCACTCAAGCACAAACTGAGGCAGACCAAACAAAGGTGAGGCCAAGGATCTTACTTGTTGATGTTCTCTGTTTTCATACTCTAGATCTTTCTCTCAAGACGGCGTCTGAGCTACTGCACTCCCAGTCCCGTTAGCCTGACAATGTGGGATTTCTTTCTGTTGCTGGCCCACTTGCTGGATGAGTTATGATCTCATCAACCCCTGAAGTGTGTTTGTGAACTGCGAGGACTGTGGGCTTGTTCTAAGGCCAGGGATGCCCAATCTCAGTTGGATTACGCTTTGGCGGTGGATTTGGTTTCCCCGTCCCAGCCAGGGAACTGTGCAGATGCGGCTGTGTTCGGCTTTCTTCCCTCACTGTGCATCTGGCCTTTCCTGGTAGCGTTTCACTTCCTTCATGGATCTCCAAAGTCCTTCCTCTGATTGAGACACATTCCTCACCCACATCCTCCTTCTCTTTGTTCTTATTCTGAGTCACAGCTTGACAGATTTATACAGAGGCAGCCTTCAGTCCATCATCTTACTCAATTACATCAATACTCCTATTTTAAGAATCATCTTTCTTATATGGCTCAGATTTAACTGCAATAATTGTTTTTATTGTTTTTGGCAGGCTCTCACTACATAGCCCTGGCTCTCCTAGAACTTCCTTGTAGACCAGACTGGCCCTGAACTCAGAGACCTGTCAGTCTCTGCTTCCCAATTAAGTTTAAAGGTGTGTGCCACCACATCCAGCTAATAATCCCTATTTTTGAAATGAATGCAAAATCCCAAACCATTTTTAGAACTAAAATGTAAGAGGAACACACTTTGAGTGTATTTTACATCCTAGTCTATCTTCTTATCAATTGTGTTCTCCAAAAAGAAGACACATGCACGCACATGCACAAGAGGTTTGATAAAGACGGGGATTGAGCATCTGTGGTCAGCAAAGAAGGACTCTCTGGGAGGAGGGAGAAGCCAAGCTGAAATGCAGTCTCAGCAGAAGCTCCGGCTGCCCACCAGGACTGTAGAGGTGTGGTCCCTCAACTACTACTGCCACCATGTTTTGCACATCAGTGAGGGAGGCTGAAAAAAGAAGGGTCTGGTGAGAGTGAACGTGATGGGGAAAAGAAAAGAGTTCTCAGGCTTTACAATCCCATGTTGACATAGGTGGCCCTGGGGAAGGGTCAGCAAGGTGATTCTCTCTAGTAGACTGTTTCCTTCAGGGAGCTGAAAATTCAAGGCTTGCCTTTAATTAACCTTCTCAACAACTGCACCATCAAGACCCATATTCCTTCAAGGGGGATATAGAAACTACAAGTTTAGAATAACAATTGACACATATGAGCCTTAGCATGTATTGAAGATTATAGCAGACTCCATCAGATGCAGAGTGGAGATTCAGCTTCTCTGATGGTCTGGTTTGGTTTAAGCAGTGATATACCCGACCCACATAAAAAAAAAAAAGGCAAGCATCTAACCTCATATAGGAATATAAATTTCAGATCTCCCCAAAGACTTCCTCTGTCCTTCCACCCTGCAGAGTGGTCACATGTGACCCATATAATCTGATTCTGAATAAAAAGGTCCAAGACAATATTTGCCGTAAGGATTCTGGAAAACACTGTTTTTCTTTCTATAAGGAGCAGATAAAGATGACAGCCTCCTTATCTTTCCTATCTTTTCTATTCCTTCCTCATATATAGATGTGGTAGTTACAACTGCAGCAGCATTGTGGCAACTAAGAGGAAAAGGTCAACAGAAATTCTAATTTATTTTCTGATATGGTTGAACAATTGAGCAATGCCATAAATCTGCCCTTATGTTTCTTGCTTTATAAACAAAAGAAGTCCCAATTGTTCAGGTAGCTAAACTTAAGCATTCTGTTGCTTACAGCAAAACATGATCCAAATGGATCTAAGTTATCTAGTGGGGTGATGACTCTACTGGAGATTTTGTTGTACCTGGTATATGCTGTGTGTTGTACATGTATGTGTGTGTTTATCAAATTGTAATCTGTTTTCAATAAATTTGAAAATACCCAAATTCTCTTGTCTTGGGATAGCATTATTGGTGTTACCAATTAGCCTTGAGATGTTCTATCATAAGTAAATCTAGTTAATCGAAATTTCTGCTTCAGAAAAACAACTTCTTATTAGATAATTTTACCAAACATGTATTTCTTGAGACTTTGCCCACTAATGTGGGATAGCCTGCGAAGCATTACTAAGCTTGTGATTTACTCCATAGCTCATTAACTCATTTCCTATTGCTGTGGTTGCTTTTGGAAGCAGAGTTCTAGGAGCATCCACTTCCAGTTGAATCAAATAAAAAGAGCAATGGTTTCCATTTTCTCAAGCCAAAGAGAGGTGGCTCCGGCAAGGAAATGAGCTCTGGAAATACTGACATGGTGCGTTGAGTTTTAGGATGTGGTCAAAACCCCAGCAAAAGAAACTTGCATTGCGTGTGTTTGCAGCATTGTTCGATGGTCATAATTGACATCTGGTTTCTCTCCACCAGTTGTTTTTATCTGCCTGCAATCAGTCCTCCTGCACTGTCATGCTCCCTTGGAAGTCCACATACTAAAGCAGAGACACACGACAGAGGTATGCTGCTTCCTATATTGAGGAGGGAGAAAGAGATGTTTATGGTTAATTTAAGCAAGTTCCCAGTTGCCTGTGAGATGTGACATCTGCAGGTCACAGCTTTCCAGAGCATCCCCTCCAAACTTATTCTAGCATGAATTAATCACAGCTTACTTCAGGCTTTCCTCTGCTGTTTTTCAAATGTGTCCCCTCCCCATTTTTTTTTAACCCATGCTTCTTTATTTGGGTATTCTTACAGGACATCTTACAGTTTAAAAAAATAAAATCTTTCAGAAAGTAAATTTTGAGTTACTTCTCCATCTTCCATTCCTTGATAGCTGTGTTATTATCTGTAGCTTAGAAGAAATCTAAAGCCCATCTTGCTTCTTTCTTTTCTTGCAAATCTCCCAACTCCATGTCTTAACAGAGAAGACATGCGTGACCAGCTCTCTTATATCACATCTCTGCTGCCCCCTCCGAACTGAGACTCGTTATCTCTTGCCCAACTTACTGCAAATGGCCTCTCTACTTCTAACACCGATGGGATGGGCCTTGTGACCCCTTTCTCCACAGTTTCCAGCATCATGCTTTGAAAACAAAATTATACTGTCACATATTTTGTTAGTAGATATTTCATAGTAGGTTTTCACGATTAAGCTATGAATAAAATAACAATTTCTTACATCTATTATGGATCTACCTGGTCTGAACTGTATACAACGTTTCAATATTAACACTGGCCCCTTTCCTTTTGTTCTATACTCTGCAACCAGAGTTACCAAACTAGAACCCATAGGCCAAATCCACCTCGACATTTGTTTTTGCAGGTAAGCTTTATTGAATCACTTACCAATTTATACAGCATCTTTGGCAGCTTTTGTGCCTGGGACATGACTGTCCACAGTAAATGCTCACAACATATTTTATTGTGAGCATATTTATATTTAGCAAAATAATTACTGTAGCCAGTTTCCCAAACAGTATTCAATCATTTAGTTTCTTCTACAGTTCAAAAATCCTCCCCCCTCCAAAAACAATGTTCTCTCTTTAAAACAGTCTGTACTACATGAACGAGAACAAGCCTGTGACTGTAGCTCTGCTCTAGAGGAAGTCACATTGCTGTTGCCTTTTCATTTATTCATGTGTTCATGTGCTCATTCACATAGGGACTTCACCCTCCAGGAAGCATGCAACGGGACATGATTTGGAAGGACAGGTGTTATCACCATATGACTAAGAGATCTCAGGAGTTAGAAGGATGTCCTCCTGAGATTTCCTCTAGCCCACCGCTACAGTCTCCCAGAACCATTGCCTCAGCGATGTGCTGACACTTGAGCTTCTAATCCTAGGACTAAAGTTCTCAGCCCCATCTTCTCAGCCCCAGCAGACACTGTAGGTCAGCGCTGCCTGTTTAGATCGACCTCACCGAAGTACTTGACAAGGAAAGATTAAGAGGAGGATGTCTGACTAGTGACTGCGAGTGTGGCCACCTATGGGAGGAGGAGAGGCTGACAATGCAGAACCCTTTTGGAATGTCATGATACTGGGCTTAAATGCAATTACATGATGGAATACTTTGAACAAGGCAACTGAGATTTTATGGAATAAAAAAAATAAATGTAACTGGGTGAAAAGCTGGGTGCTGTGCCACATACATGTAATCCAAGCACTAGGAAAACCAAGTTGACAGGATCATCTCAGGCCAGCCTGGGATACAAGGCAAGAACTTGTCTCAAACGAATAGCTGAAGTAGAGAAAGAACAAACACATGGTTTTTCCTATCTTGCCTACGTGACAATTCTGTCCCCCATGCTAAACCCGTTTAATCAATTCTCTTCACTATAGAGGTCTATCTTGCTGGGTTCTAGTTTATATATTCCTATAGCACACCTGTCTAACACAGAGACTTTCATGTGGTATTTTCTGAAACATTGTTGAAACGAACCGAAAGAACGACTTTCAAGATAAAATTTCCCCGATGATTTCATTCCCAGCAAATGCAGCAAATGCAGCAAATGCTCTTGAATGGTTTTTGCCAGAGTCAGGAGGTGATTGTGCTGTTAAACTCATTGAGCCCATTTGTCCTGAAACATTTTTTTTTTTTTGTCTTTGCATGCACCGTTGCTGTGTTGAAAGGTGGAAATGTTCTTGGTGCTATGGTGATGAAACTGCTTAGTAATTTCCATCTTGTTTGGAAATAAAGTGGGGTGGGGGGTGCTTCAGGATGTCAAACGAACTGCCACCTCATTACCTTGCTCTTGAAGTCAGCTTAACTATGCGATGGATTTCCTGGGGGAAACCACCATGTACCTCAAAAACTCACCCTCTTCCTACCACTGAAAGTGCTAACTGCTACAGCTTCCAAGGACAGTTTGCAGGTTCTTAAAGTGAAGATTTTAAGCACCCACATTCAGCAGGAGGAAGGTGGGGAGGGGAGGAACACACGCTATGCACCTGCTGCTGCCTGCTTGGTTCTTACTGAATGACTGTGCGCACTTTGGAACAAACCCTTTCAACTTGAGCGAGCCACACGAAAAGATCTTACCTAGTTTGCTTTTTATATTTGAGAGTCTTGCCTTGCTATCCCATCCTAACAAGCATTTAGACAGCTTGCTCTTACTTGCTCTTATCGGTGAGGTTTGTGTCATAAATATTGAAACAAATTGTTAGATCTCTCTGCAGAGAGAGCTCGGTTATTAGAAGAAAGGGAACCAAGCAGCCAAAATCACAGCAAAAAGACTTTCCCCAAGAATCCAGATACAATGTGACACATGCACAGAAACTGCCAGACTGAAACACTGAACATGTTCCAGGCAAGAGAAGAGGTTGATAAATCATCATGAGAACTCTGATCAGGGATAAATATTAGTATGTTGCAGCTTATTTAGGAACTGCTATGTATTGAAACACAGAATTTGGTCAAAGGAAACCTGTGAAACTGATTTTAGCCAGGTAAGAAAATGTAACTAAGGTTTGAAAGTCTTTTAAAATTTTGTTTGTTTGTTTGTTTGAAGTGTGTGGGTGTATTGTTCCTGCTGCCCACAGAAGCAAGAAAAAGGAATCCCCGAGACTAGGGATACAAGAGTTGTGAGCCAACATATAGGCACTGAGAATAGAACCTAGGTCCTCTGGCAGAGCAGCCAGTGCTCTTTACTGCTGAGCAATCTCTTTAACCTCGGTTTTGTAAATCTTAAAAATAAAATTACTAACCCAATGCCCAGTGAGTAATTACACAGTTGGTAAGAAGCCAAGGCTGTTAATAAGTAAAATACAAAAATTTGCTGCTTGATGAAACCCCACACAGCCAGAGTCTAGTTGATTCACTCTACTGAGATTGAAAAAAATAATCTGTATTTACAGAAAAGGATAAAATCATAGAAATTTCATGTAAAGATTTTGGAACCAAACTATAAGAGTAGAAACTACAGCTTATGCATGCTGAAGTTTTTCACTAACACAGAGAAAATACTTCTACAAACAAGCACGATACATAATTTGTCAAATTATCAAACATAGATTTTTAAGCACAGGAATAAGGGAACTTATTTCTCATTGGCAAAAACGTGTTGATTGTAATGGTTCTGAGTTTGACTAATAAAGACCTCCTTTAGCCTAGCTACAATGATTGAAATTCATGGTATTCATGGTCTGAAACTGCAATTTCCTTTTCACCAGCCTGATGTTTTCCCATAAAGAGAGCTGATGTCCAGGGTGATTCGACTTCCTAATTAAAAGATTGTTTCCTGGAACCATGGTTGACTTGAACATGGCCTCTCGACCAAGTGCTGTTTAGACGCTCGTACAGTTTTCATCCATTCAGATCCGCTTGAGGAAACTGCGAGGCGGCTGCCGCTACTGACCGCAGAAGCTCAGCTCCGACTCCAGACAGAACAGCCACGACCACGGTGTGTAAAGCAGCTGGCACCAGGTTGGTTTGCTCCCTCGAGTCTCTGTGAACTTTAACCCTGTATCAGATTCACCCAGCTAGATTGATACTCAGTTCCTCACACGGCCCAGCAAAAAGTCTACATCAGTGGTTCTCAACCTGTGGGGATGGGGTCAAAAGAACCTTTCACAGCAGTAGTATAACAAAAATCCCACTTATCAGATATTTGCATTACGATTTATAATGGTAGCAAAATTACAGTTATGAAGGAGCAATGAAAAGAATTTTATGGTTGAGGGCCACCACATGAGGATGTATTAAAGGGACACAGCTTTAGGAAGGTTGCAAGTCTCTGGTCTGTTATTCTTTTGGTCTGGTCCCTTTAAGGGGCAAGCCATGCCCACTCCCAGCGACTTCTGACCTCTCCTTGCCACCTTTCTTTCTTTCTGTTCCCTCTCTTGGCGTGTGCACACGTGTTTTCCCATCTCTCTCTCTCTTTCCCTGTCTCTTTCTTTCTTTCTTTCTCTCCCTCTCCTTTAAGTAATAAATGTTCATCTTTATGTTCAGCCTTATGTCTATTTACTATGTCTTATAAGCCTTTTATCCACTGACTCCACCCGGCTTGGGTGACTCTCCTGGCTGCACGGTAGCACCAGCCTGTCTGGGATGAGCCACTGCTCTGCCGCTTGCCGCAGGGAATCTGCTTCGCTCTAGCTGTCTCTGCCTGGACTAGCGTCTGCGGTCACGCCAGCATTATATTTTTTAAGAAATGAAATTGTCTATATAGGACTTAGTGGAAGGGTAACCTTTCATTTGCAGCAAGGACTGATTGACTGGTGCATATACCCTGGCCACAGCCCCTTCTGCCCATAGACAAGCTAAGCAGACCATTTCTGAGTTAGCTGCCTCCTGGTGTTGCAGCATTGCTTCCAATAAAGAAGCTTTTTTAGGTAGGATGTTTATTTATTGTGCTTTTGCTTTCCCTATGCTTGACTTTTATCATTTGTAGAGAGGGTCAAGTCTGTAGCACTAAGAGGAGGTAGCAGCAGCAACAGTGGTGTGGTAGCAGTTGCAAAGGTGGCAACGGATTTGGAGGTGTCACAGCAGGAAAAACAATGAGACATAGGGTCAGGGACAGTGATAAAAGGGTAGTTAAAGGTCCCATGGAGACAACAAGAAGAGCAATAGAAATAGACTTGAGTCTGTGTAGTCTATAGCTCGGAGCATGAAGCCTACAGTTCTCAGGGCATGGAGCTCTAAGCCTCTGT